CCACATCCACATCCACATGCACACACACACACACACACACACACACACACACACACACACACACACACACACACACACACGGCATGATGAGACAGCTGAAAACAAGAACTTTGAAGATATCGCACAGGATTATCTTTCGTTTCTAAGAGAAAAACATTTCTGAGATCAAGATCTGAATAGTGAATACGGTCACTTTGTTTCTAAGAGAAAAACATGTCTGAGATCAAGATCTGAATAGTGAATACGGTCACCTATTTACCCCCTACCACCTCGTGCAGCCTGATCGACAAAAGACATGCCCGGGCCTGAAGCTTGCATCCTTAATTAGTTCATCATTCAAGGATCTCTGAGGTATGTGTGTCATCCTTGTGCAGGGGTCACGCTAATCTTCTCTGTATCGCTCCAATTTTAACGGATGTCCTGAAGGACACCGCACGATTTTCCTTCTCAGTATTAAACAGTCAAATCTACGGAGAATGAAGATCAGAATTATGAACAGGATCAGCCTTTTATCCCCTACCACTTCATGCACCCCAATTGACAAGATACATCCCCTGCACTGAAGGTAGCATCCTTAGTTTTTCAACAACAAAGCGAACCTCTCCCGGGAACCGCAAACACACACCCTAAAGCGCCTATACTCTTTTACTCTAACAAGCAAACCCAGGTTTTGGGGGCATCCCACAAGGCAGCCCTACCACCAGTTTCCTAAGAAACAGGCTCAAGCAGTCGTCTCCAGGGGCCAGCGACCAGTTGGCCCCACCAGTCGCCTGCACAACCATCGGCGGCCAGCTCCCGATGCAACCCTACCCTCTTCACCAGTTGTGGATGGCTATCGTTGTTACCATAGGCAGAGCCTATGCTGGCGGCCTGCGGCAGGATCAAGTGGCACGAACATAGCAAAGACACTTAGGGTTAACTTCATCCCCTGTCTTTGGTGCTACAGTAACTCTTGTGAACCCCATATTGGGGCGTGAATGAAATATTTTCCACAGTAGCATAGCCCAGAAAAAAAAAAAAGACCACGGCAGCTTGTTCTTTCGAAGGTCGAGTTTAGCACTCTGTCAGCCTGGTAGAGCGCGATTTCATACTGAGAGGCATGTAGGAGTTGACCACAATGTCCTTCGGGACATTCGTTTAACCGCTAGTACAAGGCCCCAGGCTCGCAGAAAGTTTTTGTCGCCACAAGCAAAACTCGGAAGCGCCGCGTGGCCAGGCCCGGCGTTGAAAAAAAAAATCAGCAGCCTCCGAATTGGTGCGGGTTTCATGCTGACACTCACGGGCCAATATGTGGTGTATTGGTGCTTTAAACCGCCAGTACACGGCCCCAGCCTTGCTGAAAAGAAAACTCGTCGCCTATGAAAAATTTGGAGGCCCAGCGCCGTAGATATATGGAATCGGCGGCGGGGGGGCTCCGAAAAGGGTCCGCGGCCGATAGCTGGATGTACTGGTGGTTTAAAATTGGAACGATACAGAGAAGATTAACATGGCCCCTGCGCAAGGATGACGCGCATAAATCGAGAAATGGTCCAAATTTAATTTAAAAAAAAGGGAGTTGAGCACAATGTCTATCTGGTTTACTGTAATCACACCAAGAGGTATATATGTCTTTGCAGCACCTGCAGATGGGCAGAAGCAACTTGTTAGTATCCGGGGAAGCTTAGTGCGGATCAGGCCCCACCGTATTCAAGGCCCCACTGGCGCTATGTCCATGCTAAGAGAGTATGTATCTGGTCACAACACTGCCTTAGGTTCCTGCTAACCTAGCACAAACATAGCACCAGTACGCCCTGACCCTAAGGCTTAGGAGCGGGTCCCGCCGCTGCTTTGTCTGTGCTAAGTGCGCACAGGCGTGGCTAAGCACGTCAATCAACCTGATGTTTATGCTTGCTTAGCACGGGCATAGCACCAGGGGCCTGGCAGCTTCGAAGATGCCCCTTACGTGGAAAACCCCACCTGAGCCAAAGGCAACTGAAGAGCTGATTCCAATAACACCTTGTCTCAGTTAGATTTGCCTCTAGGTGGCCCATGTATAGCTGGCTAAGCTGTGCCCCATGTAAAGCTGGCTGAGCCGTGGCCCATGTATAGCTGGCTGAGCTGGTGGCCCATGTATAACTGGCTGAGCTGTTGTCCATGGATAGCTGGCTGAGCTTTCTGTTCAAATCAGGGATTTGACTTTAGGAACACTCGGACAACAACAACGTCGCCATGCATAACTTTTCTTTTTCTTGGTAACCCCAGATCTCAGTGTTGCTACGGACAGCCTGGTGCCCCAGAGATCCCCCATTGGTCAGGGTCCGCATCATGTCTGTTGGGGCTCCATCTATTGATGGGGAGCTGGACCTGCTGGCAACTGGGCAATATACATACACGATCATCAGAAAAATGAAAATCACACAATGATATCCTCCTCCACCTCCTCCTACTCCTACTCCTACTACTCGTCCTCCTACATGTCTATGGCCTCCTCTTCGCCTTTGTCCCCCCCCCCCGTACCTCCCTGCCCCCAAGTCATTCTCCCCCGCACATTTTTTTCGTTTGTTTTTACCTCTAGGTCCCCCTCGTCCTACTACTACTACTACTAGTCCTCTCCGACTTGTCTTCGTCCTCCTCCTCCTCCTTGTCTCTGTCCTCCTGCACGGTCCCCCCCCCCCCACCACCTCCCTTCTCGGCCCCACTCCTCTCCTCCTCGTCTTCCCTTCCTCCTCCTCCTCCCTCCTCCACCCCCTCCTCCTCCTCAGGTTCCTCCTCTCCTTCTCCGCCTCCTCGTCATTCCTTCCTCGTCTTCTCCCTCCCACTCCGCCTTTTCTTCCTCTGCTTCTCATCATCATCCTTTCACTTCTCTTTTTCTAACGATTGTGTTTCTTACCTTCCTCGTCTTCTTACCTGT